TACTACTGCAGTGAGGAAAGCAGCAGTAAGGGTCATGGAACATGGAAAACAGAGATGGAGAGAGGCCATGTGTCCTGACTCTGTCCCTTATTCCCCCACCCCAACTTGCCTCACCTCTCCCACCTGCCCCTCCTCCCAGTGCCTGCATCCGTGCAACCCCCGATGGTTACTCCCCCCCGGCCACTTGCTTCCCTGTGCTGCCTTCCACCCCTGCCACTTGCCTCCCTCACTGCTGCTTACCCTATGCAGTAGCACTGGCCCCAGCCACAGAGAGGCATCAGTGGCAGCCCTGGCCTGGGCAGGCAGCAGTGCGGGTGCAATCTCCTCAGCGTTGCCCCACTGCATGAGCCACCTTGAACAACTGCAGTCCTGCCCAGCTACAGCTGCAATGACAGCTCCAATCCTGGGCCTGGTCTGGGGCATCAGGCAGCTGGCCCCAGGTCTGGGTTGGGGCTGGAGCAACCACCTGCCCTGGACTAGTATTGAATACAAGATGATGTCCCCCTGCCTCACCATGGGGGGGAAAAAAAAAACAAAAAAACCCTCATTTTGGATTCAAATACATATCCTACCTTTCTTTCCAAGAAAGGTCTTCCATATTAAGTCTGTTCTTCTTAAAGAACACTGAGCTGTGATAATTAAACCAATTATAAATGCTTTTTGCAGGAAAACAATTAACAAATACTAGTCAACAGGCTCATATAAATGGAGTACCACATTTTAAGATTATAATTTGATGTCCAACACTCAGTTAGAATGAAAATTATCACTGCAGTTTCAGTAAATGTGCTGTATCATATCATGTATTGTGTAATACTCTGTGTAGCCTGAGGCGCTATGTAGTTTAAAGGCTCCATGTCCCTTCACTAATTAATCCAATAAAGAACAAAAGAAAAAAATCCTCTATGATGCAGGTCTTGTCCATAATCTACTTTGATCTGGTATTAATATGGGATGCTTTCCCTAAGTACTAATCTTAAGAATTTCTATAGTAGCCACTGTTGTATGTTCTAGCATTTGATTACCAGTTACTTTGAAGATAGTGACAGAAGTCCCCAACATTTGTCCACTTCAATTTTCTCATTCCCTATGTATTTTTGGTTAACCAATGTTTTCAAAGACATCACAAAGAAAACAATCGGATGCAAATTCAGTGACTCTGGAATATATTTTTCTTTAAAAAATATTCTCACTTGCACAATTTAATAATACCCACAACTCTCACAGTTTAAGCAATGAAATGGACAAATCTGCTAGACAGCAAAGCACATTCAGAGTGCAGAACATCTGGCTGAGGCAAAATAGAAGAGTGCATTCAAAACTAATGTTACACTTTTTATTATAACAGTTGTTTAATGACATTCATAATCTGTAGCTGTGCAACGTGGACCAGTGCTAACATTACATTCATGTTTTTAGAAATCTGATCCAGGGCTCCAAAACAATACTAGCAATATAAAGTCTCCACAGCAGACTTTAGACTCTTAAATATACATTTATTTTAATCAGTTTCAGTTATTTCCAACATAACAGTTTTATAGTTTCACTTTATTTCATATATTCATTCCGAGTTTTGTAAACTAAGAATTACGAAAGGAACATGACTTGTCCAGAGGCTAACATCACCATTTGGATTCTGTCACATGGCTAAGATTTTTCTTAGCAAGCTCACAAGCATCAACAATTCTTTAAAGGGAGCAGATGATGCTATTAGGAGATGTCAAAAGCTTACGAAACAATGTAAGCAATACTAGACAAAATGGTTAGCAACGTATTATAGTTTAAAAAATAATTACTTCACTAAATCCCAGCAAAAAAAAAAGCAAAAAGGAAGAAAAACCATTAAGCAATAAACCTATTATTTTAAGATGCGGCTTGACAAGCTTATGAAGTATAAGATGGCTTTGATTCAATGACTTATAGGAGAGGTGACCAACTCCTCAGTGGCTGGCAGCTGGAGCCTGCACAGGGGACAGTAGTGCAGGCCCCCTTCTCCCTGGCAGCCCCACACCACTGTTGCACAGTACAAATAAGGCTTCCTTAGCCCTTCCCCCAGGCACCTTCCCACAACCCATCAGCCATGGACTCTTAAGTGCCATAAGGCCCTCTGGGGCAGGCACAGGAAGCAGGAGCTAGAAGCGGGATGCTCAGAGTCCCTGGCTTCTGCTGCAGCCAGAACAACAGGCAGAGCGGTGGCCAGGTAGGAGCCTGGGGACTCTAGATTGACTTCTTGTGGGCCATATATGCCAGCTGGACAGCCCTGACTTAAGGAAGTTCTTCCCAGACCTATGAACCTATTTAGCCAATGTGATTCTTTTAGCCAAACAGAACCCAGTGTCCATCCCTTTAAGATGGTAAACCCTTGGACTCTCTCTGTTTATACAGTTCCTAGCACAATATAGTCTCTATAATCTACTAGATACAGAATAATAAAAAGTACATACACTAATTTTGCATGTAATCCACAGGATGTCATTTTGTTCTTGATATGAAACAGAGCTGCATGGAAGACTAATTCCCAGTAAAGATAGGGTTCCTCATTCATAGGTACTTTTCAGTATCTCTTCTAATGGGAGAAACCGCTTACGTAAATTTGTCCACCTAACAACCCAAATTTTGTTTCCAGGCTAGAAACTGGAACAGTTACCCCAACTGAGTAATTACTGAAAAAGGCACATACGAGCCCTTTTTCTGGCTACCACTGGTCCTGTTCACATCACTACTTCCAGTACTAATGGGAGTTTGCATAGGATATAGTTTTATGCGGTGGAGTTATGGTTAGTATGTGCTAAATCACCATTATATCACTTGTTACTAAAACCAACCCCAGAAAAATCCATCTCTCCAGCAATCTAAAGAGCTGCATGTCCAATGGACCTAAAGGTGAACCTTTCCTTTCCTTCCTGCCCCAGCTTTTGGGTGTATACAGTTCAAGGTTGAATATGGCACACTCAGAGAAGAGGACCTTCACTTAGGTCATTCTACTCCCAGTTACTAGAATATCAAGCGTCTTCATTTCCCAGTTGGACACGGTGATCTCTTCCTTTTAAAATTCCAAGCAGCCACTGTAATGCACAAGTGGTAGAGGCACTTACTGTGCTCATATACATAGAAAGCATACCCCCAAAGGCAAGCCCCAGTGACACAGTTCCTTGAATTCCAGGAACTCTCCTGGTCAGAAATTACTTCCTTCCTTTTTTCTAAAACTTAATTGTTACAGAGGGAATTTAAAACAAGTTAGACATCTCTTAGCCATTCCCCAGTGGCCTGCCATGTAAGGAAATCAGGCTGGGCTCTGGGAAGATGAGATAACACCAGAAGAGTGTCGTCTTCCGGAAATGCAATCACTTTTGTCCATTTTCCATGAATCAGCTACATGACTAGTAATAACTCATGCCCTGAGATGTCAGAAGCTGTCCAATTGTTGTTCAGAAACAAGATACATGGCTGGCAGAATTCATCAACCATATATCAAAAGCATGCTGTACAGGAAGTGAGAAGAAAGTGTTATAAGCTTTGTACGTGTATCCTTTACTCTTAAGGAATGCATAGGAAGAGTGCTCCTACAATTATCAGGTGCAAAAGTTACTCCTCAAAATGCAGTAAGGAATACTTTTTAGAACCATACACTTTTACATTCCCATGTGAGAAAGCAGATGGCTATTATTTCCATAGTTAGAAATCCACTCCCTTCCCATTTTCTCTGTCTCTTTTTTTTGTGAAGCAAGAAGGGACAGTCAGATATACCTCAATCTAATGACACATTTTTGCCAACTTCTGCTAACATTTTTGCTAACTAAATACAGTAAAGACTACTCTCTACTGCAGTACTTCCTAACCTTTTCCTCAGCATGACCCCATTTTCTGAGCGTGCCTCCTCACTCCCAACCCTGCCAAGTGCCCTTCACTCTCCACTCATAGGCCCCTGGCCCTGCCAGTACCCTTCACTCCCCACCCACATCCCCCTCCCCCACCTCCAGCTCTACTGGTGCCCCTCACTC